TAAGTTGCCTAGATTGATGGATCTCATTTGCTGCCCTCTATTATTCAATTCCAATGAAAATTACAATTTGCTTGTAAAGATCGCTCATTTAACTTCAATCTTTAAAATTCTTTTCTTTCCCTTTTAGTTATTTGTATGTGTTTACCAAGTTTGTTTTTCTTTTGTAAACATAATATTCCTTTGAGGGGGAGTTAAGAGATTCAGCACTGCCTGGCAGCATGCCAAGCAGAAAAACTACTACCATCAATTTTCTTTCCAATAAAAGATGATGTGCACAGTGGTAGACTTAATTTCCCAGTCTAACCTCACTGGGTGTTGATGAGGTTCTTAAAGGCTACTAAATGAAGCAAGGTCTACACCAAGAAGGAAACAGTTTTTATTAGTGACAAGAGTAAAAATTAAACCATCACATATGGTGATAGCTAGAAAAGGAGGAAAGAGAAGTGCAAAATCAAAACAAAAGGATTATTTACAGACACATCTCCACAAAGTGGAAAAGCATGGCTCTTTTCAGAATAGTCAAGGGAAAAAGTACATAGTCCACGTACTTCTCCACTCCCAAATGCATGTCCTCGAGGAGCTTGAGAACCATTTGGAAAAGGATTAAGAAGCAACTCAAGTAGCTGCTTCATTCAATTTTTCTTAAACATTTTTTAAAATGATTGACACAGTCCTTCAAAAAACTGCTGAAAATAACAAATCTTCTGCCTATAAAAATATATGAGCACAAAATTTCATACAATTTCAGGATCCTTGAAACACATCTATGGACTCAGGGACCGAGACTAAGAACCACTAAGAGTCTCAGGAGCATGCTTTATGCTTTATAGGGTGAGATTAGAATGCTGGCCAAGTTAAATCAGCACTCCAACTGCAACAGAACTGTTACCAGTACTGACCAATTTATATAGTTTTTATAGATTTCTAAGTGCTTTCTCATATATGGGTTATTTGATGTATTGGTGTGGTCCAAAAGTTTGTTTGGACTTTTCCATATTAGCTTAGTAGTAGAAACATCCAGTTTCTCAGCTCAATAGACATGGTGAGAAAAAGATAAAACTGAATACTAGGTCCGGGCCCAGGCTTCCCAAGTGGCTCGATGGTAAAGAATCCATCAGCCAAGCAGGAGACACAGGTTCAATCCCTGGGTTAGGAAGATCCCCTGGAGGAGGCAATGGCAACCCACTTCAGTAGTCTTGCCCGGAGAATCCCAGGGACAGAGGAGCCTGGCAGGCTACAGTCCATGGGGTCGCAAAAACTCAGACACGCGAGCACAAGCCTGAGGTGTGGGCCAGATGAGAAACACAGGTCTGATGATCAATTAGGATTAGATTTTGTAGAAATAAAATGTCCCCTCTTGAAACATAAATACACTTAGTTGAGGAACATTTACGTGCTCAGCTGCTAATACCCTTAGAATGAATATTGTATTTTTTTCCAATGAGAACCAAAATACTTAGATTTTTGAACGTAGTAAGTTAGACACCTAGATCGAGTTTTCAAAATTTTATCTGAGGACACTGGGGAGGTACACAAGGTCCTCTCTTTGCCAATCACATATCTGTGTGAATCTGGATTTTCCTCATATACTTTAACCAAAGGAACATCTTGCAACAGACTGGATTCAGAAGCAGATATGAAAATGAGATTTATAAAGATGGAAACAATGACATACTTTTTACTAAAGATTTTTGTTCTGGAAAAGAGTTAACCTGTAACACATTTCTTAAGTGAATTTACACATATTTAAAATTGTTTTAACTTCAAAATGGTAAATATCATATTTAACTTATATGCAGAGGACATCATGAGAAACGCTGGCCTGGATGAAGCACAAGCTGGAATCAAGATTGCTGGGAGACATACCAGTAACCTCAGATATGCAGATGACACCACCTTTATGGCACAAAGTGAAGAACTAAGGAGCCTCTTGATGAAAGTCAAAGAGGAGAGTGAAAAAGCTGGCTTAAAACTCAACATTCAGAAAACTATGATCATGGCATCTGGTCCCATCACTTCACGGCAAATAGATGGGGAAACAGTGGAAACGGTGGCTGACCTTTATTTTTTTGGGCTCCAAAATCACTGCAGATGGTGACTGCAGCCATGAACTTAAAAGACGCTTACTCCTTGGAAGGAAAGTTAGGACCAACCTAGATAGCATATTAAAAAGCAGAGACATTACTTTGCCAACAAAGGTCCATCTAGTCAAGGCTATGGTTTTCCAGTGGTCATGTATGGATGTGAGAGTTGGACTGTGAAGAAGGCTGAACACCGAAGAATTGTTGCTTTTGAACTGTGGTGTTGGAGAAGACTCTTGAGAGTCTCTTGGACTGCAAGGAGACCCAACCTGTTAATCCTAAAGGAAATCAGTCCTGAATATTCATTGGAAGGACTGATGCTGAAGTTGAAACTCCAACACTTTGGCCACCTGATACGAAGAACTGACTCACTGGAAACGACTCTGATGCTGGGAAAGACTGGAGGCAGGAAAAGAACAGGACGACAGAGGATGAGATGGCATAACCAACTCAATTGACATGAGTTTGAGTAAGCTCTGGGAGTTGGTGATGGACAGGGAGGCCTGGTGTGCTGCAGTCCATGGGGTCACCAAAGAGTCAAGACACAACTGAGTGACCAAACTGAAATATCAGTAGATGTGACCCACCTAAACAAAAGCTCTTTGGAGTTTTCAGCAACTTTTAAGTGTTTTCAAAGGGGCCCTGGAGCTTCCCTGGTGGGTCAGATGGTAAAGAATCCACCTGCAATGCAGAAGACACAGGTTCAATCCCTGGATCAGGATGATCCCCTGGATAAAGAAATAGCAATCCACTCCAGTATTCTTGCCTGGAGAATTCTATAAGCAGAGTAGCCTGGCAGAATACAGTCCATGGGGTTGCAAAGAATGGGACATGACTGAGCAACTCACACACACACACAAAAGGGGCCCTGAGACCAAAAGGTTTGAGAACTTGGTACTTGTCAGAAGACAAGTCTGGGGCATGGTGGGTGGGGGGCTGAGAAAGTGTCAAGGTGAGAGAGGGTGAAGGGAAGAGTTAAGGAGGAGAGCATCGTTGAGTCTTGTCTGGGATATAGGGTTCCTTGACTGGTAGGAAAAGGGCAGAGAGGCAGTACCATGCAGTCTCTTCACTTTGTTTGTGACCTGTTCTAAACACAACGGTCTGCATCACAGTTTCTGGAAAGAGATCTCAAGAATCAAGCCAGTAGAGTCTCCACTCCTAAAACTAGGAAAGACAATCGCTGGTTGTTAAATGAAGAACACTGAAGCTGCTCCTTTTTTCTCCAACAAGAGTGCAAAACATTTTTGGAGATCTAGATTGTGTTTGCTCTGCCAGATAATACAAGATTTGTTACTACTGGGTTTTGCGTTGTTTGTTAATAAATTTTTCACCGTTTGGAATACCATTTCCAGGAAAAAAAAAAATCTAAAAGGGGTCAAATCGGTAAGGGACAGAAAGACTAAATATCCCTTCAAAGAAATTCATCTTAAATCTTAATATTTACCTGCTATGCACTAAGCATTGTGCTACAGAATAAGTTGCAGTAGAGGAAACAGCCTTGAATTTGGGATGAGAAATACTGTTTCAAACTATTTGTTTGTTACACTCTTTTGGATAATTTAACCTGAGTCGCGTTTTCTTATCTATAAAATATGTATAATAAAACTTATCTCACAAGGTCGTTAGGGATCAAAAAGAGATAACCAATGTCAATTGGACAGCACGGAGCATGGTAGGTCTTTCTTCAACAGCCCAGATACTCCGTGTAAAGGCCAGTGATAATCTACTAAGAGAGATAAGACGTGTAGACAAACATTTGAAAAATACAAGGCGGAAGGTCTGACGTGCCAGAGCCACAACAAAAGTATTTGGAAAGTGCTACGGTGATGCAGTCACACTTGTTGGGATGGGAGAAGATGCTCAGGGAAATGACGGATTGCCGAGTGAATCCCTCTCCCACTTCCCGGCCCCCAAGGTCGGCTCAGGCTGAGCATCCCCGGCCCAGCTCCAACTCCCCCCGCGGGATGGTCACACCGCTTCCACGCCAGTATGGAAGTGCTCGGTAGTCCAGCCTTGCCCAGCTCACTCCCGGGCACCTTGAGCGTGGGCGTCCGGCCCCAGGTCCCCGGCAGCATCCACGGCGACCCGGCGGCCCGGGTCCCGGCACTAACCTGCACCCACCTAGTCCGAGCTCCGCGCCGGTATTAAGTGGAGGTAGGGAGGGGTAGGGAAGAGCAACTCGCAAGTTCCCAGCTTCTGGGACACCCACTCTCCTCGCTCAGACGGCCACCCTCCGCCTCCCAGCTCGCCCTCACACCACCCCGCGGGAAGTTGCCCCGAGGCCTCAGGCGGCGGCGGAGCTCCGAAGCCGAGCCCCCCACTCCTCCCACTCCAGCCGGGGGAACTCGGCGGCCGGCGTTCTCGCGCTCGCTCATCGATTGGCGCTGCCTTGCTCCTCCGGCTCCCGTCGCGGAGAATGCGGCCCCGGAGAAGGAGAAAGAGGGTCTGGACCGGCGGGGGGAGAGGGGGCGGGGACCAAGGCAGGCGGGCCAGGGGATCGCCGATCGCACGGATGGGCGCGGGTGCCGGCTCGCGCTGTCTGGCGGGTGGCGGCGGGCGCCGGCTAGCCTGTGCGGCGTGAGGCGAGGCCGGAGTCGCGCGTCTGCCGCCCGCTCGCCTCGCCTCGCCTCGCCCCGGCGCCGGCTACCCCTGCCCCCGGGAGGGCCGTCCCGCGGAGGCGGAGGGCTCTCGCGCCGACCGCGGGAAGGTGGGGCGGGGGGAGCCGGCGAGTTGCTGAGGGGGCCGGAGGAAGGCAGCGAGAGGGAGCGCGCGCGGGCGGCGGCGGCGGCGGCCCGGCCCCTCCCCCTCCCGCCGCCGCGGAGAGCGCAGGGAGCCGCCGGGGGCTCGGCGGCGGCGGTGGCGTCTGGCCCCGGCTCCTCCTCCTCCTTCTCCTCCTCGCTCCCTCCATCTGCCGTGGTTATGGCCCGTCGCTGGAGCACAAAAGAGTCTCCGCGGTGGAGGTCTGCGCTGGTCTTGCTTTTCCTCGCCGGGGTGTACGGTAAGTCTCCGCGTTTCCGCACCCACCCCCCACCCCCGGCCCCGCCGCTGACAGAAAAAAAAAGCTGGGGCGACCCGGAGCCCGGAGGCCTCCTGGACAGGGGCTCCCTGAGGAACCGGCCAGAGACCCCGGCTGCCGGCGGGACAAAAGATCCCGCGAGGGGTGGATGCAGCGGGAGAGGTGTTCCCCCCCACACGGAGATGCTGTGAGTCCGCTCGTCCGCCTCCAGATCCTCGGGGGTGTTGGAGAGCGGCTTGGGCGCCCCCGGCCCCGGGGGGAAGCCTCCCCAAACCCTCGAGAAGCTCGAGGGTGGCGGGCGGACTTCCCGATCCGGGCTGGAGGGCCCCGGCGGCCGGCTCCTGTGGAACTCGTAGCCCCTTGCACACAAAGGTGTACGGTGTGGGGGAGAGAGAATGGGAGGTCGCCCCCCGCCGCCGGCCGGGACGGTCCAGACCCCCTCGACCCTCCCGGGCCCAAGAAGTTCTGTCCGTGGTGGATTTCCCACCGCACCGACTCCTCGCCTTCCCCAACTCGCTGGTGAAGCAGCCCGCGATTTTCTTCCCATCGCTGCACCTCGGGGGCCGAGGCTCTGCTGATCCCCGGGCATGCAAGATCCTGCCCCTTACTCTGGAGCAACGCGCGGGAGAAGGCCAGAAAATAGTTTCCAGCCCTACGCAGTCCTCCCTCTTGGGGCGGACATGTCTGCGCTGACTCCCGGTTCGTTTGCCATCTCATCCATCATTGTCCGCTAATGTTGTCACTCTTGCTTTATTCCAGTGGTGGGTTGTTATTACGTGTATATAATGCCTTTGAGGTTAAGAGAAGGCTGAGGCTATGAGCGAGGACCAAGCTTTATGTATCACACAGGGGTCAGAACAAGAGCTACATGGAATTCACTGGAAAGAACATTCATTGCTTGAGAGACTTTGAGTTCCGCTTCTGACTTGAATGTTATTAGTTCCTTCAGTTAAAAAACACTGAATCGTTGTTTCAGAGAACACCGTTAACCTTTACTTTTGGGAGTTGTGGTTTGATTTCTTCAGAGGGAAATAATTGGAAGTTGCCATTCTTAGGTCAGTTTTACTTCTAAAAATTGCCACAAACACGTGGTTTACAAGGGAGCATTATCTCTTTTGAAAGCACTTATCTATGGGGTTAAATGTGACCGTAACTTTTAAAAACCTGAGAAATTACAGGATATGAAGAATTTACTGAACTGAAATGGACCTTTACTGACAACCAAGAAATTGTAGTTTTTCTGTATGGTTCACAATGCATCGCTGCTCCCTAAGCTGATTAATATATTATTATTTTTGTCTGGGGAGAGTTGGTCCACACTTGATGTGGTCATTGCCAACGGTGTGATTATTTGTGACCAGAAAACCTAGTGCAAGACTTTGGATTGTTAGTTGCATCAAGTGGCTGTGATCCCTCCTCGCCTGGTGACTTGTGGGTTTGGGTCTACACCAGAGATCAGTAAGCTATTATGTGTTTCTTCTAGCCTGAAGGTAGGTGTAGTTCTGCACTAGGTTTGGTGTAATGGTCCAGGAGAGAGAAGAGAGAGAGAGAGGCATCTTTAGTGTGGTTAGGAGCGTCCAGCTTTGCCCTCTATTGTAATCAGAATTGAGTCAGTGTTGTCTGATCAGAATGGATAAACAAACAGGTTCTTTTAAAGCTCTGCTTTCGTTAAAAGCTGTGCCATTAGTGTTTGAACTAAAAGTCTTTTGGCCCCTAGGGATAAGAGGCTGTGAACCCCATAATTTTGTCTCGGTGCACAAGAATGACTTTCTAGTAGGTGCTTATCAGATATTTATGTTTGGGGAATTTGTGTTTGGTGAGAAATTGTTAGTAGGCAGAGACTGAAGCTCCTTTTTCCAGCAATGTGTCGTCAGATTATAAAACTAGAGAGTGATTATGCGAAGGGTTGATATCTCAAGCTACACAGCAAGTTTCAAAGTATAAAGAAAAAGGAGGTAGTGAGCCAGGCGGAACATTAAACTGTGAGCAGAGATTAAAGGAGCCCTTCACTCCTTCATTGCAGTTGGGCAAAATCTCTTTATTGCTGCACTTTTTGTCCTCTTCTGTCTCTTCAGTCCTCTGTGGATTTGTATTAGAGGAAAAAGCCTGGAACAGTAACGTGGGAGGGGGTGTGCATTCGTAATAGTACTGAAGTTTTACTTGTGTGTGCAATAGTTGTGAAGAGTAGTGGATGCATCCTGAGAAGTACCTGTTCTGAGCCTATGGAACAAGTACACCCTGTAGTTTATGGAGCTGTCCCTTATACATGAAAACATGTGTTTTCCAAAAAGTGGCTTCAAAAATAATGAAAAACCTCTGTTAATGTAACTGAATATTTGGAGTAACGCTTAACTTAGACCTAGTAGAAAAAAAAAACAGGTGGATTGGCTACTGGGTCAGTTCCAATACTAACTCTTCACAGAGTGACTCTTTCTTGTCTATTAAAATGTAGTCATAAATGACTCCAGGTTGTGTCATGAATCTTTGAAACATTTCAAATGCCTTAAAAAATAATCTGTATTTTAGTGTTTAGTCTCTGCACATGACCAATTTCATGGACCCTGTGACTATTAGAATGTGACTGTTTTAGTGGAATAGTGTGACTATTCCTTCCAAGTTACTTTTCTGAATGCCCGTGCCTCATTTGAAACTCTTGATTATGATATGGAATACAATTAATGTTTTAAAGGAGTAGTTGTTCAAAGACCATAATTATCTTCAGGAGCTGTTGTATCTTAACTGCACTGAATGTTCCTGGCAGGAGAAGGTAAAGGTTGACCTCTGCCGTTGGAAGTTTGTAGGAATAAGAACAGTTAGTGCGGGCAGCTCTGAGCTTTGCTGGGCACTGCGTTGTTGTTCAGTCGCTCAGTCGTGTCCGACTTTTTGCAACCCCATGGACTGCAGCATGCTAGGCTTCCCTGTCCTTTACTATCCCCCAGATTTGCTCAAACTCATGTGCATTGAATTGGTGATGCCATCCACCTGTCTCATCCTCTGTCGCCCTCTTCTTCTGCTTTCTATCTTTCCCAGCTTCAGGGTCTTTTCCAGTGAGTCGGCTTTTTACTGTGTTAGGCTGGCTGTAAGGGGAGAAGATGTTTTTTCCATATCTCACATGGGGACATCTGACTGTTAGAATGTATGGAGGTCTCCGTGACTGTCTCCTAGTCAATACAAGCTAACCATAATTTGGTAACTGTGGCAGTTGCATTACTTTTCCTTTTCCACTTCTGTTTGTCTCTCAGATCAATGTTTTCTAATCTTTTTTTCCCCCACTCAAACCTAAAATAAAAATAAAGTCATAAAATACCTAAAATGTTGCATTTTTTTTACTACTCCCAGAACAAAACAAAGTTCATGAAATAATACTTGTTGGTACCACCTGAGATTCTCTCTGATGTTTTCTAGTCTATTCCACCTCCCTTCTGTCCTGCTTCCTTTCTTCATTTACTGGCTTGGACCCACTTACAGAATACAATTCTTAGTTTGTAAAATTCTGCCCTAGGTGAAGCCTTAAAATGTAGTTAAAGTGTTTGTTGTATTTGTATATCATTTTACAGTAGCCTTGAATAGTTGTAGGTGGTTAAGTCTTCAGTTACTTGCTCGTAGAATGTTTGAGAGCAGTGAGAAGTCTGCCTGATGTACACGGACTGACTTGTGACAAAATGTTATCTTTAAACTGGTTTTCAGCTCATTATAGTCAAAAGTTCTTTCTGTACGCACTGCTGTTCTAGATGTTGTGGGAACATAATATATCTTGCAGTTTATATCTAATGGGTGAGTCTTTCCCAGTGAATTTTATGAAACTTTCTGCTGCATTTTATAAATTTCCAGTTTAAGTATAGAAGAGAAGTTCCAATTTTAGAAAGATTGTAGAAATAGAACATAAGAAAAAAATCTCAACTGGATTCCAGTTACTTCTAAGAAAGTCAAGCTTGATTACATAAAATGTTGAATAAAACTAAATTAATTGCTTAATACTGTTTTTGTTTCTCTGATCTGAGGCGTTTTTGTATTTGGGGTTTCTTTATTGTTTTTTCTTTTGTCATATCAATGAAATTACAGTTAAAAGAATGAAAGGTAAAAAGGAAATGAAAGTTAAAGATACATTTAATATAGATGAGATTTATGTAGATTTAAATAGTAAATGTTTTATTTTAGAATGAGTTCTAATCTTGTTCCAGCTGCAAGTGTTTATAGGTAACTGAAGGTTGTTCCAAACTTAGGAGTTGAGGTTGAATTAATGATTTCTAATTTCTCAGATTACTTTTCCTTCCAGTTTCTTAATTTCTCTTCATTTTCTCCTCACCCCACCTCGTCCTTTGTGAGAGGGCTGAGTGAGATGTATCCTACTTAGTCCTCATTTTCTAAGGTGCAGGACTAGATCCTACAAATACAAGGTACCAGTCTGTCTGCTCAAATGCATGTCATTAGTCTTTTTAGGTAGGTGCAACAGTAGGTGTATATGTGGATAGATAGGTCTGTCTGTCTGTCTCTTCAGTATCAATACAGAATTAGCTTAGGGAATTCTTATTCTCTAAACTATAGGAGGAAGGGAAGGAAACTAACATTTATTAAATTAAGTTCAGATACTGTGCTTGGTCTTCATTCAATGCCCGTTAATCTTCATTAGGTCTCATTTAGAAATCCTACAAGGTATTATTTCCTTTCTTTTTTTTTTTAATAGAATCTCAGAGAAGTTGTGCCTTGTCTAAGCTCATACCACTAGGAAACAATAGAACCAAGACTGAAGCTGAATCCTGTCTCTCTCTTCACTCACTCACTCATTTAGCAAATATTTGTGGAGGACTTACTTGCAGTAAGACACAGCAACCTGGCAAACATGGTTTCTGCCCTCGGGGAGCTTGTAGTCTAGTGACTAACTTGTGTGCTCTAACGAAAACAAACGAGGGTCAGAGACAGTGAATAACAGACACAGAGTAGTTCTCGGAAGGCTTCATTGTAGAGGAGAATAGGAGACCCGA